CCCAGCCACAAAACCCATCCCCCGAGCCGCATTGTGCATGCTCACTGCCCGTTCATACCGAAGTGCAGCTTTCTGGGTCTCCTGCTGTGCCTGCCGAGATGGGAGGGAAAGGAAGATGGTGTCAATGCCACAAAAAAGATTATTAACATCCCTACGCAGACCTGGGAGGAGGCACCAGGGGCATAATTCTGCACAAGAGTTTCCTTCTAGCCCAGTGTGTGCAAGTTTAATACATCTCTTGAACAGAATTTCCTCCCTGCCTTCAACTTGCCATGGGCTACATGCCTGCTAAATGGCATGCCACCAAAATTTAGAGACAAACTGAAAAAAAGCTATTTTAAAGCAAGCAGGAAATGCTTATTTTCAAGAGGGTTCCATGATTTATTGGTGCATTTCACCAGTATGTGCAGTGGGGTGGATGAGGGCAGCAGGAAGGTGATTGTCAAAAAAGTTGTGAATCTGATGCTTCTCATTCATGCCACAAAGCAACAGCTGTAACCATTATATGCAATATATGTTAAAAGGTTATTTGTGTTAATTTCCATCTTTGGGGAGAGAATGGTATTATTCCTGCTTTCTTCCCTTGTCAAGATTGCCTCAAAAAAAGAAAACTCAAATTAGGTTGCAGTTCATCATCCTCAAATGTGAGACAAATGAAAATGTGCATTGCTTTGATTTTCAAAAAACTTCCTACAGAAGTTTTTAGACTACAAATCCAAACATCTCTACTCGAGACATTTAATGATAATAGATTATGGGGTCTGCAGTCCCTATCCTGATCACAAAGAGATAGGAAAACCCTAGAGAAGGCCAGAAGGTACGGCTGGATCCTCTCCTAAGATGGGTAGCGACCTTGCACGTTGCATGATTGAGCATCTCTTGCCACGTGGGATCTAGCCGGTTCTTGTCTGCCATGACTCCCTGCTCAGCCACAAAAACCATCTCACGAGCCGCATTGTGCATGCTCACGGCCCGTTCATACCGAAGTGCAGCTTTCTGGGTCTCCTGCTGTGCCTGCCGAGATGGGAGGGACAGGAAGATGGTGTCAATGCCACACAAAAAGATTATTAATATCCCTACGCAGAGCTGGGAGGCGGCACCAGGGGCATAATTCTGCACAAGAGTTTCCTTCTAGCCCAGTGTGTGCAAGTTTAATACATCTCTTGAACAGAATTTCCTCCCTGCCTTCAACTTGCCATGGGCTACATGCCTGCTAAATGGCATGCCACCAAAATTTAGAGACAAACTGAAAAAAAGCTATTTTAAAGCAAGCAGGAAATGCTTATTTTCAAGAGGGTTCCATGATTTATTGGTGCATTTCACCAGTATGTGCAGTGGGGTGGATGAGGGCAGCAGGAAAACACCTCGGAAGGGTTTATGTTGTCCACATGGTTCTATCCACTTCCTCTCCATGTCTTTCTCATATACACTCTACCTGAAGTGTTGGTACAGGAGTGGGCAAATTCTGGGCATGGGAGTTATTTTCCCCATTTACTAGAACCCTAAAGTCCCAGCGTTGAAACCCAGGTGCAAAAGAGGGTGGGGCTAGGGCACAGAATCATAAAATGATGGAGTTGGAAGGGGTCTATCAGGCCATCGCGTCCAACCCGCTGCCCAAGGCAGGAATCAAAATCAAAGCAGGCCTGATACAGGGTTAACCAATTTTCTCTTGAAAATTGGAGCGCTCAACCCCTGCTGTGGTAATTGGTTCCATTGTCATACTGCTCTGACAATTACATTTTTCCCCCTGATCTGGTAAAAGCCTAAATCTGGCTTCTTGTCGCTTGAGCCCATTGTTACGTGTCCTGCACTCTGGGAGGAATGAGAACAGATCCTGCCCCTGCTCTCTATGACTACATTTCAAGTATTTGAAAAGGGCTCTCCTATCTCCCCTCACTCTTCTTTTCTCAAGACTTAGGTGGGTGTTAGTCACAGGGCCAATTGCCCATGGAAGCAATATCTTTGTCCCCCTCAAAGTCCAGCGGAAAGGTTGGGGGACTCTGCTTGATAAAAAGTGAGGTGCTCATTGCAGTGAGAAGCAGAGACGGGAATCCTTAACGAAACTCTTTGTAAGTGGAGCTCTTCCACAACCTACCGTATTTTTCGCACCATTAGACGCACTTTTTTCCCACAAAACAGGGTGGTGGAAAGTCTGTGCGTCTTATGGAGCGAAGAAAACAGATTATATTTTCCTCTTTTCTTCTCCTAACGAATTGGTGCGTCTTATGGAAAGGTGCATCTTATGGAGCAAAAAATACAGTACTTTTTAAATCTACTACACAATGAGTCCAGAATAATCCTGAATCTTTGCTTTGACCCTTTAAAGCAACAGTGGAAATCTCTGAGGATCAAGAGTCCTCTTTGTGCTCTCATCTAGAGAGCAGCTCCCCACTTCCAACCCCTTTGGACCTGGCCTTTATTTTGTGTCCAAATTACGAAGCTCCTGGGCACTTTGATTTATTCTCTATATGTAATCTCCCCTGGATTTCTGACTTTGTTAGGCCAGGAAACAGTCACTTCTGCTTTCTTTAGAAAAGGCCCGGTCCCCCAACCCCGAAAGATTATATTCAAAAGGCAAAGTGTATTGCTCCAGAGGCTTCTTAGAGAAAAATCTGCTCATGGGAGGGAGGGGGGGCAATGTGTAGGCTGCATAATTAAATTATAAACTGCCCACACAGTGCTTTAAGCACTTTGGGGTGGCATATTATCAGCACTTTTTTGCTTTTTCCCCTATTGATTGATTGATTGAACTTATACTCCGCCCATCTAGTGGCAAGCCACTACTCTGGGTGGCTACAAAATAAACAAACACAGATACACAGAAAGAAAATTTTTTAAAATACGCTTTTTTAAAAAAAAAGGTAAAACCCAACTTAAACCCTATTATCTGTTCAGGGGATCTGAAAGAGATTTATCTGGAGAGCTGCCCTGTAGTTGCACTGGACTCATCCTTTCTTTAAAGTTTCTTACTCTAAAACAGCCGAAGGCAGCAAGAGTCTTGGAAATACAACACAGTGAAAACAAGGGCACATCAGCACATCTACCTCCTTGGCCAAACGCCTGGCCTCGTAATATGGGCGCGCTTTCTCAATGCAATTCCCCAGCTGAGAGCCCTGGGCATTGAGCTTCCTGGCAGATTCTGACAAGATCCTCCGGTATGTGGTGCGGGCTTCCTGTTGACATCAAAGGAGCAGCTGTGTTAGTCTGTCGCAGGTGGCATCTTAAAAACTAACAAGTTTCTTTGACCGAAGCTTTAATGGGCTATAGCCCACTGCTTCAGACACATCTAAAGAATCAGGATACAGTCCACAAAAGCTGATGCAGGTTAAAACTTGTCAGGGCTGAATCCTCTTTGTCCCTTATGCTTGCACGATGATTCATTATCCAAGCAGCTGGACTCTTCGTTACGCTTATGGGTGCTTCCCTGCGCGATCATAAATGTTGTTTATTTTAATGGGACGATCTCTGGCTCCACAAATGAAATACCATGCTGAGAATGAACCCTACAATTTTGTATGCTAATTAAGCTATAAATTAAGCACTTTGTGTTGCTAAAGCAGCAAATAAGTGTAAGTTAAATAAGAAATATCTTTCAACCACCATCTGATGGGGTGCAGAGTGGGGGCCTCCATCACTGTTATAATCCCAATTGTGGGAAGAACAGCATGACTTACAGGACTAATTGAGCTCAATGGGATTAATGTCTTAGTAAACAGGGACAGGATGTATGCATATCAGTGGTTGTGTTTTTCCTTAGGTCAGCAGTGGGACATCTGTGGCCTCCAGATATTGTTGAATTGCAGCTCCCATTAGTCTGTGGCCCTCCAGATATTGTTGAACTGCAGCTCCCATTAGTCCCAGCTATTGCAACCAGTGGTGAAGGCTGATGGGACTGGAGATCTGATAAAACCTAGAAGGGTGCACTTTCTACACCCCTGAGCTAGTCCTTCCATGGCCTTTGCTGCTAGTCCTCTGAGTTAGAGCTGGCCACTGGTCAGGGAGCGGGAGGAATAACAACATCATCAAACCCAGCTTAAGTGGATGGAAGTGGGGCCAGGGATCACTGAGCTATATGTTCAAGCAGAGTAAACCTGGCACAATAATCACTGCTTCCTTCTCCAAATCACTCTTGCTGCACTGTGGGTGGCAAGGGAAGCAGTGTATAAAGCAGCTTTTCATACAACTCCAGGCATACAAGCCTGTGTACACGCATATACACACAAACAGATGCAAAAAGCTACATATTTTGGACTACAGCTCCCACAACCCCACAATCCATATGGCCAATTGGAGGACTCTGGCAGTTATAGTTTGATAAAAACAAACAGACCCCTAACCTTCCTGGATATTAACACATAACACAGTAGCTTATCAAACAGAAAGCTGACTATTGGTAGGGAAGGGATGGAAGACAGGATGCATTCAAAAGGGGAGCAGACATCCAGAGTCTTGGAAATGTTGCCTTACTCACATCCAACTGCAACTCCACCCGATTTATTTCCTCATTGGCCTGATTGAGGTGCTCCAGCTCCTCCTGGGTCAGAGAGATAAGAGGGCAAGGCTCAAGAAGAGGCACTGATGCAATGTTCTTCCTCAAAGGGCTTGGTACTGTGTGGCATATATTGCACATTCATCCCCAAGGACCTCAACCCTATCTCAGTCAACTCCCATGCAGGGAGAGTGGGTGTACGAATGTTTACATATACACACAGAAACAAACCAACCCTATTTCTCATTGGGAGGAAGAGGTGGGGAACTACATACAGATGTACTCCATACTGCTAAAACAGATACAAGTCTTCAAAAGATGTTTTCTGCTTTGGCTTGTTAGTAAGAACTAAGGATGAAAGAAGAACACAGAGAAGGATGAGGTGCGATACAGCCAGGCCCCCCCAATTCTGCCCCTTGAATATATGGATCCAAAGCCACAGGTCTCTAAATAGAAACAGGTTTCTAAGTTTATGTTCCTCTCTCCAAGAACACGATCCTTTCTGTTCCATGCAGTAGTCATAGGGAGGAAGAGGTAGCAGTTGGTGGGGCCACACTGAGATCTGCATCTCAATTGTGAAGAAAATCTCTCTGGTCCAAGTGTCATCTGTCATCATTTGGCTTTTTTCTATCACTATTTGACATAGTGATAGAAAATTTCTTTCAAGGAATTTTCAAGGGTAGCATTCAAGACTCTGGTTTGGATGAGCATGTAACAAGAAGGAGGCAAATTCATGGCCCTTGCTTTCAGTGCATTTTATAAGTTAAGAGTGTGCTGGATTGTTTCTGACAGGCAAAGCTTAATTCTGGCCACTATACAGTTTGGGGCTGGCCAAGATGACTGGCCAAAACTTGGAGATGCTGGAATCAATCTAATGTTGCTGACTTCTGATTGAATACATTTTACATTTTCTAGAACAAAGACTGGCAACTGAAATTCTTGAAAACAAAACCAATAACAATCTAGCAGGGTCATCCTATTTTGGTTGCCAACTCCTAACGGTTTCCCTGGTAATAATATAGACCAACCAGTTTGAATTTTGTATACGCCGCTAGAATGGAACCCAGCAAGGCATTTACATGGTACAGTTATGGGGATGCAGAATGTCTCACAGGTCTGCCATTCAGGTGCCTGCTAGAAATAAGAATTTAGCTCAGAGGAGGATTTCAGGATTTGCGGCCGAATCCAAATGCCTTGGTATGCCAAGCCAATCCTTTGGACTACCTAAAGCACCATCATTGCTGGTTTCCTAGGCTTAGAATGATTATTCCATCCCACACTACACCCCTGTAGTACTAAAGGACTGAAATGCATCTTTTGAGGCTAAGCAACAGGGGACATGTTGAGATATTTGATCATACCATTTTGCCTTTTGACCTGCCCATCACTGGAATGCCATCCTGGAAAACATAGTTAAAATTGGATTTGGTTCTTGCTTTCTCTCACCTGGATGCGAGGATCAAGTTCTTCCTCTTCTTCCTCCTCCTCCTTTTTGGGGGGGCTTTTGGCATCTCCACCACCATCACAGAGGGCTTCAGACCCAGAGGTCCTCTGTTCTTCTCTCTCTTCTGTGGGTGTCCGCAGCTCCCCGGGAGGTGTCTGTCGCCCATCCCCCATGTTCATGCCCAGCACCAACCGCTGGTCGGAACCCTCCATCTCAGGCTTCGTCAGCCCCTCTGCAATCCTCAGACTCCCTGTGTGGGTGGGCTGGCCTCCTCACAAAAGAACAGGCACCATTTTAACAGGCCCATTTGCAGAGAACCAGCATGAGGCTTCTCCTTTCACTGAGATGCATCTGGCACATGCGGAGAATGAATGTGGCAGAATTTACTGCTGCAAGCTAGAGAGCAATGATGCACCTTTGGAGTGTCAGATTAACTGAATGCCTTCGGAAAACTGTGGAGCTCTGGCCCTAGAAATTCCCTAGTTGGCACATACAGCAGGTATGCACGCATGGAGGGGGTGGAGAAAATTCCCCACCAGGCATATCCTCCACCCCCTCTCCCGTGGCCCACCCTTAAGACGCTTCTTCAATGCAGCATCTAGCAGCAAAGACCAAGGAACTGAAGGAAGCACACATAGACACAGCTAAGGAAGAAAACAAAAATAGAAGATGTTAAAAACTAAGAAGCTTTTTTAAAAAAAAACTGCCAATAACTCTGCAGTAATGGCCTATTTATTGATCAAACTGAGTTGTGTCCAAACTTTGCCCCACAATGAGACACAGAGTGACTCACATAATTTAAGAAAAATTATGTAAAACCAAGAAAAATTTTAATATTAACATACAAATAAACAAACTGTACTATTATGACACAACTGAATTAAAACAAATTCTAAGCACATCCGTTTCCCTGGAAACCGGTGTGAAAGAAGAAATACAGTTGTCATCAGCAAAATGTCTGTAACGCTTTGGCAATCTAACTCAATCCTGCATTTGGAATCCATGTGTTGGCAAGCACTGAAACCTGAAGCCTGGATAACCTTTTTTTTAATGTTACAGTTTATTATATTTCATTATGCTTCTTTATTTTATGCTTCTTTATTTTATGTGTTTTGATTTTATTTTCTGAACCGCCAAGAGAACCACATCTACTGGGAAACACAGAAATGTAATGAAAAAGTGAAAGCACTTTTTTCCAATCTTATACAGCTTTAGTTCCTGAAAATGGAATTCTGATAGCTGAGAAACTGATAAAAATGCACAAATACACAAATTTTCCACCAAGCCTACTTTGAATTTTTCTTCTGTGTATTACAAGATTTTTTTTCCAGCAAATGGTTTTAGTTATGGATCACCCATCAGAGTTCTCAGAAATCTAAAAGCCAAACGGTTTCTGAACTTGTAGTGCAAGTCAGTCACTGTTACAACTACAAATAGTTTGGTGGAAGGTCAGGAATAAGCAAAATGCAGGCCTCCAGGTGTTGATGAACTACAGTTCTCATCAGTCTTAGTGAGCATACTCAACGGTGAGAAATATTGGGAGCAACTTTTGGAAGGCTGCACTTTGCCCAACCTGATCTAGGGCGACTGCACAATTATACAAGGTGATCTATCAGCTGCATCAAACATTACAGCAAACAGCATCAGCACAAGTAACACACTTGAGCACTGGAATGACTCCAGACAGGGCCATATATAGGTACTATGTATATGTATGTTTTGGAAATGGCCATTTCTAATCATGCTTAAATAGCTAACAAACACTGGAATGACTCCAGACAGGGCCATATAAAGGTACATAGTAAAAAAAATACCTATGCAATGTATGTCTGTATACGTATGTTTCAGAAATGGTTATTTCTAATCATGCTTAAATAGCTAACAACTTGTCCTTACCTAATTTTGATTTCCTCCCACCTTAAATAATCAAAGATCAAAACAAGAAATCCTCACGTTCCAGGTTTCCAGATGGAAGCACTACATTTCTGAACTTCTGAATGCCCATGTGACAACTACACCTTACCAATAGCAAAATGTATTTGCAGTTTATTACCAACACACCCACCCACCTTTCTGTTGTTAACTACCAAGAAATAAACCCAAGCTATTTCCTGCAACCACCAGTGAGTGTCCCATGATGCACTGTGCTTCTTTCTTTGTGCATGGATATTGTGAGATCAAAACTGCACCGGCTGGTTGGTTCAAATGGTTACTGAAGAAAAAACCGTAAGACAAAAACCCACCTTCTTGTATGTGACTTGATTTTTTTCCCAACCACCTTTAGGACTCTACACTCCCTCTCTTTCCTCAGAACCCTCCATGAAGTTTTTTGTGGGCTTTTTTTGGCCTGAACCCTTCAACCTAATCCCACAGCCTTCATTTGCTTCTGAAGCCAAGCCTAAATATCTACGTATATACTGTACTGTGCTTCCCTTGTTCACCATCATTTCTATCTTCTTCCTAGCACCTTCTTCTGTCCCCTCGCACTCCCCTCAAATTTTAATCAGTAAGCTGCACAAAGCACTAACTACAGCTATCACATAAATAGCTGCCATTAGTGCCTTTCATCTTGTGTCAATTTTCAAACCAAACTAATAATTAGTGAATGAAGCAAATTTTCATCCTACATGTTTAGCTACCACACAGCCATCTCATCCCACAGATTCCGGAAACAAAGGCCACTATTCCATTGAGTTTGTGCTCAGCAGAAAGTCCCACCAACCTAGTCACACAGGGTCATGCCGCTTGTGCAACTGTTGCCACTGTGCAAAAGATGATCTCCATGAAGGAAACCAACCTTTGTTTGCACAACAGCAGTTCTTGTGCAAGGGGTGAGATCCCATGTTACTTTATTGTCGGGATTTTCCAATCTGCAGAATCTCAATAGAATACCAGACAAAAAGCCTTGTAGTATCTTGAAGATGAGTAAGTCACACAGGTGGAGAATATGTTGTGAGGTGGAACAGATGTTATTACACTACAGTTCCTATCGATCCTTGCCAGCACAGCCACAGAAAAGGGATGACTGGAACTGGGGTCGAAAAACACTGGAATATCCACACATTCCACAACCAGGTGGACAATATGTTATCCCCTTCTGAATAACCGTAAAACCTACTGCTGTTTCTGTGGAGGCAGTCGTGTTTATTTTGCACCCACCCCAGATATCCGTAATTAAATTACCGTACAAATATGTATGTTTCTGTATGTCATTTCCCTGCAACCCCACTTACTGCCTATCTGTTATGCTTATCGGATGGCAAGAACTCTAGTCCAGGAAAGCTCATGTCATAATAACCAATCTGTTCAGAAACCCAAACTAACATGGCCACCCCTCTGGAAAGATATCACGAAGAATTTATAAACCAGAACAAGAAGCTAGAAGCGCATGGCAGCTGGAGCCCACCCCCGAGGGGGTTTTCGGGCTTGGGCATGGATTTGCACCCCAGGAGCCCGTGGTCTAAAAATCCAGCCCCACCAACCACCACCACCACCAGCCACCCCCTCGCCCGGTGGGCTACCACACTGCCCCCCCAGGCTATGCCTTCTCCGCCGATTGCACCGGCATGTCCGCTCCGGCATTGTTTCCCCATTTCTCTACCGAAGATCCCCGCCACCAAAGGCAGACAGAGAAGCAAAAAAATGGTTCTATTTACCTTCAGGTCCAAAGGCAACCCCCCTCGCCAACCCCAGCCCCAACCGGAAGCGGAAGTCGTGTCCGGCACAGAGAAGCCGCCCTACTCTGAGCCTTCGTACGTACAACATGGCGGCTTCCTGAGTCCAGTGAGGTTTATTATTTTATATATCTGGCGTGCTCCGTCGCCTAGAAGCGGGCCCTTTGGAGGCAGCGTGGTCGCCTCTGGAATTTTCAAACGTGAAAGAGAATCGATTTTCTGAAAGGCACAGTCCTGGTCCTCTAAACAGCGAGTCGAGGAGACCCAGTAGGAAGCGCCATATTGGGTTACGGACAAATAGACTGGCGTGTGGGAGGAACCTGAGATGGAACGAGCTGTTTTTTGTACCACCCGGGGGCCTCCTCAAGATGGCCTCTTTTCTGGTGGGGAGGCCGGCTGGGCAGGCAACTGTCGGGAAAAGAAACACAATTTGTGTTCTCTATTAATTACGCTGTATTTTGCAACTTTTTCTGCAAGACAGATTAGTCTGGCGAATTGCTAACTACGACTAAGCAGGTGGTTGGTGGCCATTTTAGAATTAGTGGCCAGAATCCTATGCTGTACTGTAAAGTCACAACGAGAGAGTCGGTCTCCTTAAGCCTTAGAAGAGACATTTCAACAAGCCCTAAATCTTTATTGAAAGGAACTTCTTTCAGCCTCCTGATCATTTTGCAATACTGTACTGTCTTGCCACTGCCTTGTTTCCTGTTTGCCGGGCCTTCCTCACCACTGTCTCAATATGTTGAACATAAAAGCACCATGAGTTCCACATCAAGTTATCCTCTTCCCTCACTTTTCTTTTCTTTTCTTTTTTTTTAACATCTTGCTTCATGACTATATAGAGAAAGCTCCCACATTTTTGTGACCTTTTATTTGGCCAAATAAAGGCATTAACACCACTTGGGTTTGGTTCCCCCCCCACCTAAACAGTATGACTATGGTTGTTCAGACCATTGAGGGAGGACTTTTCCATTCTTGTAAATAACTGCTCTGACAAAAATTACACAGAGGGAGCTCTCCCCATCAGTGTAAAAAAAATTAGGAGGTTTAAAAAGTTAATTTACTGGGCTACAGTTTCACAAATCCCCAGACATTTATTATTTATTTACAGTATTTGACTTTTATACCACCCATCTGGCTGCCAGGGCCAGTCTAGGTGCTTCACAACTTGAAATAATATAAAAACAATAAACATAATTAAACATCAAACATAAACAAGTAGCATAACTAAAACCTAAAAATAATTAAGATAATTTAAAGGCAAGGTGGCAGAACAGGTAATATAATAAAACACTGAAACAGCCACTGTGTTACAGTGTTGTAGACGCCAGAAAAGCCATGTTTTCAGTGATTGTAAAGGTTCCCAGTGAAGAACCCAGGAGAGTTTTGGGCGGGAGATCCTTCCAAAGACAAGGACTGACCAGCGAAAAGGCCCAATTTCTGGTTTTCTCTCTCCAGGCCTCTCTTGAGGTCAATGTTCTCAACCATCCAGCATGAGGAGATCGTGTAGGATGTGCAGCTCTCATTGGAAGGAGGCATTTTACCTTTCCCAAACTTTGTCACTCTAGATGGTTTTATTTTAAATAATTAATAAATAAGAATTTTGTTTAAATACTCTGTCTCTCTTCATAGGATGATAAATGTCAGCTGTGACAAACCCCCCCCCCAAACTCAAACTATCAAGAAGTGTTATAGTGTTCGCAGGACTTTTGAGTGTCATACAACTTGACCTTGATGTAGTCTTTATTTGCAAGACAGAATCAGCTGCCTTCATCTTTGGACTTTCTTTATGTAGGGCAACTTACTAGGGCAAGTGTGACGACAAGCACCTGCGCTTCCAGATGTACCCTACACACCAGGCTTAGGAGGTACTATCTCCTGGTTGTGGAATCTGTAGAGCTTCCAGCTGTAAGGCTAAGCCTTGAGTCCTGGATCCAGCAACCTTCCACAGCTGCTCTCCTGGCTTTGCTTTCTTCTTTTACCACCATGTCAGAGCCCTCTCTGCTGCTTAAGATTGGAGTGATACGTGATTTATATCTTACTTCCCTCCATACTCAGGAGATTTAAGACTGGAGACAGTGGCAAAGGCATACTATAATGGGCTTATGGGGAGGAAGGATCCCTCCATTCCACGAGAATTAATTCTTTTGCTCTCCAAGTGCATTGGACTTAAATTCTCTGATTGGCCAGTGGTTAACAATTCTGAAATTAAGATTGGAGTGATACGTGATTTATATCTTACTTCCCTCCATACTCAGGAGATTTAAGACTGGAGACAGTGGCAAAGGCATACTATAATGGGCTTATGGGGAGGAAGGATCCCTCCATTCCACGAGAATTAATTCTTTTGCTCTCCAAGTGCATTGGACTTAAATTCTCTGATTGGCCAGTGGTTAACAATTCTGAAAGTAGACGTTGGAGATTTAAGACTGGAGACAGTGGCAAAGACATACTGTAATGGGCTTATGGGGAGGAAGGATCTCTCCATTCCACGTAGACGTTCAAATCATCCGGAGTGCCAAACATTGAAAACTAGTTGGCAATCTTCTTTTGCTTCCTTCAAATCATAGCAAATGTGCCCTGCTGCCTTTGGGAGACTTTTTGCTTCTTCTGCAAAATTCTGGGATTCTGGACCTGATCTCCAAAGTCACTGGGAGCCAGGATGGTGTTCTTTGCAAATCATACTGTTCCCAACCATCAGTCAGATTGTAGGATGTGTTGTCCTAGAGCACATGTGTCAAACTCAAGGCCTGCAGGCTGAATCTGGCTCCCCAGGCCATTTCATGTGGCCTTCACAGTGCTGCCTGTTACTGTGCGGTATACAATATGCAGGCACTTACTCGGTCACCCATAATGCTCTGCAAGGATGCTGGGAATCTGCCCAGTGGGACTTCTAATCCCAGCATTCAAAGCAGTGAATAGTCAGAAAGTGCAGCCGCTTGGGCAGCGTACAGCACCTTGGGAAATGTAGTCCTCGCTATTGCCCACTCCCATTCTTATCTGCTTGCCATTATTTCTTGACTTTGATCACAGACTTTTACTTTCAGAGCTAGTTATTACTTACGTTATTACTAAAACCAGTAATAATCGAATGAGGAGGATTATATTTAATATGATAAAGAGTAGATACATTTATATAGTCTTACAGATACAACCGGCCCTTTGAGGGCTACGATCATGCCAATGCGGCCTAAGATGAAATTGAATTTGACACCTCTGTCCTAGAGTATCTGAAATCCATCTGGAAAGTACCAACTTAGAGAAGACAATGCAACTTTAAAATGACTAAAAGGGTACTCCGTAAGGATTCTGGGACAAAATGTGTGCAGTTGTGCACTATTAGGGAACAATAGTGAGACCAAAAATCCCATTCTTTGCAAATCCCACAATTTATTTTACAAACAACTAGTTAATGGTGCAATTGATGAATTAATTAAAGTCAACAAAGCTGGTTAAATCCAAAAATATCAACAAGAATTTAATTTCTCCATTTCTACCTACCGGCTTTAATGAATTAATTTTTAAATCTAGCATCCCAAGCTCTGATCCTTCCTTAGCTTCTTAAGGAGGCTTATCCTAAAGTTATCCCCACTGTGGCCTTTTGGACGTCAATTATTAATAGGGCTACCATACATCAGAGGTTGATGGCACATAACAACAATGTGTGTGTGTGTGTGTGTGTGCGCGCGCACACACACACACACACACACATTGTTGTTATGTGCCATCAACCTCTGATGTATGGTAGCCCTATTAATAATTGACGTCCAAAAGGCCCACTCATTAATAGACCCAATCAACTCCTGCAGACTCAAGACCATGGCTTCCTTTATGGAGTCGATCCATCTCATGTTCAGTATTCTGCTTTCCCTACTGTCTCTATTAAAAAAAAATTTCAGTGACTTTTCTCTACTCATGACATGACTCGTGAATCTCAGTCTATATACACAACATAAACATAAGCTGACCTTGCAACCATGTGCCTGTAAAAACAGCAGGGCTCTCAGAAGCATTGGATTTAACCTGGAGGACCGTCGTCAGAGAGTTCAGCTTGGGGAGATTGTGGAGTCCTGCAGGGGCTCAATCATCTCCCCAATGCTATTTAATATCTTTATGAGGCCGCTGGGGGAGGTCATCAGGAGTTTTGGAGCTTCGTGTCCCCAATATGCAGATGACACTCAGCTCTCTCTCTCCTTCCATCTTTCTGCAGTGTATGCCGTATCGTCCCTTGAGCACTGCCTGTATGCGGTGCTGGGATGGATGAGGGACAACAGATTTCCGGACAAGATGGAAATCCTGTGAGTGGGGGTCCCTAGTGTCTGTGGTCTGGGTGCCTCCCGATCTTTTTTGGGAGGCACTCTTTCCATGAAGGATGAGTTTCGTAGCTTGAGCATGCTTTTGGATCCATCACTATCAATGAAATAGCATCTGTGGTCCGATCCGTTTATTTCCACCTAAAGCAGATTGCACAGCTATGTTCCTGCCTTGACACGCTTGTTCATGTGCTGGTAGTCCTGAGATTAGACTACTGTAATGCCCCTACATGGGGCAGCTCCTTGGGACTGCTATGGAGACTGCAACGGGTCCAGAACACGGCGTCCAGACTTCTGAGTAGGGTTAGAAAATACCAAATATCTCCCCCACCCTGGCCGCCTTACACTGGCTACCTGTTTGCTTCCGTACCAGTTTCAAGGTGTTGGTATTAACCTATAAGGTTTGGGACCTTGATATCTGGCCAAGCGCCTCCTTCCAGTTAGCTCTGCCCGTCCTATAAGATCCTCGCAGGCAGGGCGGCTGAGATTTCTGATTCCAAAAGAGGCCCAGAAAACAACCACTAGAAATCGGGCCTTTTCAGCGGTAGCGCCACAATTATGGAACTCTCTTCCACCCGAAGTCCGCCTGGCCCCTTCACTGAGCACATTGAACAAACTACACCATGATACAATAGTGCCCGATAATATAACTCTATCATACCACCATGCTCCATGTTTTTGTATTTTTCTACACTTTTAATTGTATTTATTGTATTGTAATTTTATCCTCACTGCACTTTATGACTTTTGATTTTCACCTCTATGTATTGATGTATTTGCTACTTTGTTGTTTTATGTTACTTGTTGTAAGCCCAGAGTGGCCTTGGCTGCCCTATGGGCCATATATATAAATCGAGTAATTAAAGAAAGAAAGAACAAACAGGTCAAACAGCAGTTTCCCCTGAGATGTGGCAGGCAGGACTGGGGAAAACATCCGAGCAGAGGAGGGCTGATGATGGCTCCTAGGTCTAGTGGGTGGAGGGTGTGTCTATCAGAGGCAGGGCCAAGCGCATCTACTTTGTCACTTAACTTCTTCTCTCACAGTTTAAGTGTACTCTGTGTCCCATCTTGGTTGGGAAGTGTATTGGGGGTTAGGTGGGCCCACCTAGCTAAATGATAAAACCATCCCTTTTTCCTAGACTAACTTTCTCTGTGTACTTTCAATAGCCCTGCCAGTCTGTCACAGGAGGAAGAATAATGTAGAGTAGTGGTTAGAGTGTTGAGTGGAGAAATCAAAGTTTCAGCTTCAACTTAGGTGTGAAATTTGAGGAGTGCCCTAAGACCATTCTTTCTCAACTTGACTTAGTTCACATGGTTGTTTGAATTAATTGGAGGGAAGGTGGGGTATAAATGAAAGGACTTACCGTACTTATACAGGAAATAACCTCTGGGCATCTTCAAAGCTAACATTGAGTAATTGTTGTAAGCTGTGCAGATACCTTTGGGTAATGTGGGCAGCATATAAGTTAAATAAATAAATAAATAGATAGATGGATGGATGGATGGATGGATCTGTCATAGACAGTTCTGGTCTAAATCAGGGGCTAACCCATGCCTCCCACCCACCCCTCAAGACCAAGAACATACATAGATGGGCTGTATGTAGACAAGAAATGAGAGAGAGAACATAATAAGAAAACAAGGCTCCCTGAAAAATACAACAATGCTGGGGAACACGGAAGGCAGTAGGAAAAGAGGAAGACCGAATACAAGATGGATGGATGGATGGATGGATCTGTCATAGACAGTTCTGGTCTAAATCAGGGGCTAACCCATGCCTCCCACCCACCCCTCAAGACCAAGAACATACATAGATGGGCTGTATGTAGACAAGAAATGAGAGAGAGAACATAATAAGAAAACAAGGCTCCCTGAAACATACAACAATGCTGGGGAACATGGAAGGCAGTAGGAAAAGAGGAAGACCGAATACAAGATGGATTGATTCAATAAAGGAACCTCATCCTAGAGTTTGCAAGAGCTGAGCAGGGCAAATAATTCCTAGTCTATTGATACAATAAGGGGAGGGGGATAGAAAGATGGGAGGGGGATAATACATCCCACTCTTTTCAATGTATTATTAGACAAATGCTTCCAGATCTGTAAAACCCAGTTTTCATACACATTTGTTAAATTTGCTTTTTCTGTCGTTTCATTTTTTAAAATATATATATTATACCTTTCTATACATATACAAAAAGAGAAGATGGAATCTTTAGACCTGCTTTGACATTTTAATTTATATACCTGCCTTTTGTCACTTGCTCCTTAAAGGCTCGCAGGTACGGCCACTGTTAAAATAGTCACTGTTTTTTTTTAAAAAATATATATATTATACCTTTCTATACATATACAGAAAGAGAAGATGGAATCTTTAGACCTGCTTTGACATTTTAATTTATATACCTGCCTTTTGTCACTTGCTCCTTAAAGGCTCGCAGGTACGGCCACTGTTAAAATAGTCACTGTTAAAATAGTTTATAATCACAGCTAAACAAGGATTCTAATCCATAGCTTTCCAATCTAACGGTCTAACCATTATCTCCACTCTCTTTTTTTCCTGTAACTTTGCTTTTAAGAAGCATCTGCAGAGGGATGAGAAAGAAGGTTCTTCTATATAATCCATCACCACCATCATCATGACCCCACCCAGAGGAGCAGAAGGTGTATATAAAATGAATTCCATGGGGGGTTATGGGTCTCTTCTGGAAGTGCCCTAGATCGAAGTTCCAGGCAGAAGCAAAAAGTGGTTATAGCAAAAGAATCTGCATACTTGGAGAGGTAAGGGAAGTGCTTTGTGCTGTTTATATGAAATTATTTAAAACTGAGAGCTATTAACTACAACTGTTAATGATTCTCTGTTTGTTACAAATTATTCCTTCATGTTTTCTTAGGGAAACTATTTATAGTTCTCTTATATAAAAATGCTTTTTGTTTTGTTTGCTGGGTGTTTGTTCTTGAAGAATCATGGTTCTGGATTTTCTCCTCTAGCTTTGCTCCTTCCTGTACATCTCAGGGCTCCTCATTACCCTTCTTCCCACTCTTTATAGGGCCTTGTGTACTTTTAATAGTAGCTGAAAATAAAACCAGCCCACCAGTCTGTATTCTTGTATCTCAATGCGAGAGGGAATGTGTCAGGTTGTACCTGGCCGGTATACTCTGGTTTCTCTTCAGATTTTCTAAATCTTACTTGGCCTGCAGATGTTAATGATACATGCTTGAGGCGGAAGAGAAAGTGGGAGGGAAGACCAGTCCTGGACATAAGTAAACTGGGTGGTTTTCTGAAAATACTTCAGTTCTAGAACAGGAAGCAAATCCAGCAAAATAAAAAGCACAGCTGTAGGACCTTTATGGTATATATACAGCTGTTTAAGGCATTTTTTAAAAAAATCCTTGTCAATATATGTGTGTTTAAGGCACATGTTTGTTTATGGTGCACACTATTTAAACTGCCCACTAACCAAACTTCTCTTACTAGTGTAATAAGAATAAGAATTAGCTGATTTTGACTTGAAGCAACCCTTCCCAGAGTTTTCTAGGTAGGGAATCCTGCTCAGAAGTGGCTACCAGTCCCTTTTTCTGTGGGCCACTCTGGAACTATGCAGCTTTCCCAAGGCTACACAGGTTGGGTCTTGTTGTGGGAAGCTCGGTGAGGAATCAAACTCCCAGCTTCTGGCTCCATAACCAGGTACCCAATGCAGTGATCAATCCAGCCAGCTGACTGGTGTCAAAGTAATTCTGCACATGGTTGAAGGCACCTTTTTTTAAAGGTCCCAGGACCTTCAATGGCAGACTTTGGCAGTCCTCCCTTTCAAGTCCTGTCCTTCTACTAGCTACCTCACAGGTAAAAGCATTATGAACAAAGTATTTCCTTTATTTAATCAGGACAAATGAAACCTTTTCCTGCTCAGTCTCAGCTCTAAAAGATACAGACCCTGCCTTTCAAAACAACAACAACAACAACCATAGGCCATTGCCCATATCTGTGGCTTCCACTTTTTGTGGACTAAGGCTTGCATTCTGTAAGAAGTCTGACCTCTTGGTTTTGCAGTGACCCATGGAGCCTCCTGGTGATGGAGTAAGAGGACGAGGAAGCTCTGATGCCGAGAATGAACCTGGCCTTCTTGCTGTAGTCCAGACTGTTCAGAAGAGCTACCAGTGCCTAGAATGTGGGAAAAGCTTCAGAAGGGGCCCAAGCCTCTTGACACACCAGAGAATCCACACAGGCGAGAGGCCCTATCAGTGTCCAAAGTGTGGGAAATGCTTTACTCAGCAATCAAGCCTTACCATTCACCTGAGAATCCACACCGGGGAGACCCCTTACCCCTGTCCTCAGTGCGGGAGATGCTTCCGGCAAAGCTCCAACCTCCTTAAACACAAGCAGCTCCATGAGGGGGTGAGACCCCATCTGTGCGCAGACTGTGGGAAATGTTTCGCACAGCGCTCTAACCTTCTCATTCATCAGCGAATTCACACCGGCGAGATGCCCTATCTGTGCTCCGACTGCGGCCAAACGTTCAGGCAGCATCGAAGCCTGCTTGTCCACCAGAGGTTCCACAAGGGGCACCAGTCCTGCAGTTACAATTGCCCAGAGTGTGGGAAAAGCTTCATGCAGAGCTCTGACCTGGTGAAGCACCTGAGGGTCCACACGGGGGAGATGCCTTACAGCTGCCTGCACTGTGGGAAGAAATTCCGTTATATTTCCAACCTCAACAGGCACAAAAGAACCCACACAGGGGAGAAGCCTCATGCTTGCCGGCAATGCGGCGAATGCTTTAGCCACTTGTCCAGCCGAAATACCCACGAGAGGATTCACACGGGAGAGAGGCCCTACGGTTGCGCCGAATGTGGGAAGATGTTTATTTCCAGTTCAAAACTTGCGAGGCATCTCAGAACCCACGCCAAGCAAATGACCTACATCTGCAATAAGTGTGGGAAAAGCTTCTGTCATCACTTGCACCTTATGAGGCACCAGCGACTCCACAAGGCTTGGAACTCTCGCTCCAGAAGGAAAGAAAAATGAATGACAAGCCGGGCTTTGCAAAGCTGATTTGACAGATTCACCCATTCTACCAGGTAATCCATTATGTACCTACAGCAGCAGATGAGGGTGCTTCCAAAGCTTAGAAGCAACAGATACCAAGTTACTTATAATAAACTAGTGAGGATTATAATTCCGTGGCTGGTTAATCCTGGGACCTGTCGTTTAAAAAGTAACTTTTCGAAATATAGCTCATAAGCAGTTCCTTTTCCTAATAAGAAAGCTATAACTTATTTTTCAACTATAACTTAATGGATGAAATACAGTACAGTAGTAAGTCACAATAAAGTAGACTCATTGAATCCATGTGATTTGGTGAGTCAACAGCTCTGCAATTTGCATTTCTTCAATAGGCCTACTTTAATTGCAACTTACTATTGAATTTCAACCATTGAGAGAGAACCTCACGCCTTTTGCAGATTGATTGTAATGTTGAGCTTAGTTTTATAGATACAGGATATGATGCTCAGTGGTGGAGGAGAAATATCACATGCTTCAAGTGTAGGCTGGGGCGCATCTCATAAACTGTGTTTACATGTGTATGTCTTTAAACATAATCAAAAGGAATCAATCCAAGAACCAGGGAAGTGTTACTTCTCACAAATGTTATCAATAACAGCAATGAACTACTTTGGGAGTAGATTTCAAATGCCTGTGTAATAGCATTATAATAATACTGGCATGTGGTATTTCTATCATTTCTGTGCTTTGCTTGTGTCAAGTATTGTCTGCCATTCTGTTGGCCATATCTCAAGGATGATGTCATGGGGCAGTGATTCCTAACCTTGGGTAACCCAGTTCTTAGACAAAAACTCCCAGAAGCCTTCACCACCAGCTGTGTTAGCCAGGATTTCAAGGAGTTGTAGTCCAAAAACATCTGGGGACCTAAAGTTGGGAATCACTGGCAGATGACTTTTTAGAGCACAGATTTATAAACTGGAATGCCTTCTGGTAGACTGATCCAGCAATGCAATCTACACATTCTTCTCCGGGCAGATACTCCAAAGAAGAACCATAGCAGACGACTTATCTACTGTATTCTTGTAAAGAGATTCTGGAAGTCTTCGAGTCTCACTCTTCAGTACCACCCCAGAAGTTGCGAGAAACAATTTCTATAGCACAAAGACTTGGATCCAGAGAGGAACTCAGTGATGAGAAACACTTCTGGAGCTGCTGAACTAAATCTGAACCAAAACCTGTCACTCATGCGTCTAGTGTAATTTCCTTCCTCTCCCCAACCCAACCTTTACCTCTAAAGTCACCATCCAATCCATTGTATTGATGCAACCAGCTTGGTCTTGTGGTTGGCTGAAGATTAGCTACAGCAGTAGTCCCCAATCTTGTGCCTCCAGATGTTCTTGGACTACCACTCCCAGAAGCCTTCACCACCACCACTGCTGGCCAGGATTTCTGGGAGTTGAAGTCCAAGAACATCTGGAGGCCCAAGGTTGGAGACCACTGAGCTACAGCATGGCACTGATACCCATTCAGCATTTTGGAACAAATGTGGTTCAACGCAAACGGGATTTGCTTTGTTTGCGACTTGGGAACACATACTTTCTATGGATTGTAATGATAGAAAAAGAACAGTATAGGCCTCCCCCCCCAAGTAATCCTATTTACCATGAGACTACATCAGGGTACCACACCCAAGCATACTCATCAGAAGAGGTGACTATACACTCCCTCTGTATGTTGTTGGATAACAATTCCCATTGTCCCTTGCCATTGGCTATGCTAGCTAGTGCTGATAGGACAGCAACATCTAGGTGGCCACACATTTCCCACCAGCAGCCGTCTGTGAATCATGCTTTCCTACAAAAGCTTGTTGGAGGGAGTTCTGAATCTCACAAGAACTCCCAAAAAAGATGAAATGCTATATAGTTCTTCCTATGCAAGTAGGATTCTATGGGGGAACTCTGCATAGTGAAAAAAAGAGAGGAAGAAGGGACATCATGCTTTCCTACAAAAGCTTGTTGGAGGGACTTCTGAATCTCACAAGAACTCCCATAAAAGATGAAATGCTATATAGTTCTCCCTATACAAGTAGGATTCTATGGGGGAAACTTTGCATAGTGAAAAAAAGAGAGGAAGAAGGGACATCCTCTATGTATTTTATTTTGAGGTTATTTTTCTTGATATTTCAGGTAGCTGCTAATAGCGATCAATCCCTTGCTGCCTCCAAGGAGTTCATTTATTTCTCAAAGAGTAGTGGATCCTTAAATTTTGCCTGTGTGAAGTTTTGCATGAATGCCCCTAAATTTCCTGGGAATGGCAAAGGATATTTAACCATTTAAATCCACAAGCCCACTGACCATGGCTGCCCCCTTTGCTATCAGTTTGAGAAAGGAATCTCTCACTGTTGTCTGTGGAAACCTTCTTTCTGAGCCCAAAGCAGGAGGAATGGTGCTGGATGTGACTAAATACTGCCAACACCCCAACATATATTCTGCTATCTCAGGGAGAATATTGGCCATAATGCTATAGCTTACATAGGCTGCTGAAAGTACAGCAGTGTCACATGGAGGTGAATTGCCACTAATTAAAAACTTGTTCTTTGTATTCCTCCTCATGCGCCAACATCCATGACTGGCACACGATGAGGATTACAGCCCGTAATTCCTTACTAGCAGCTATTTGCCACTCTGATTTCTGTCATCACACTTTCCAGTGTATGTAAGCAAAAGGATTCTGGTCAGTAGTAATTAAAAATATCTGCTATTATTGCTATAAGGAATTTAATGTCAAGAGTGACCCTCTGGTTTTTCAAGTCTTTTTTCTGTCTTTTTTTATTTAAATATTGACTGCTTGCTGGTTATTTTCTCTGCGTGTTTTTCCCACTACAATAAAGATAGAACTCATTCAGGCAACATTTTTCTTCCCATGGTTTTGGCATCTGCCTCATACTAGGGACCCCCTCCATTCTGTGCTGGTAGGTAGGGTTCAAGCGCCAGAGCGCTGAAGCGAAAAGGTTGCCATTTTGATTAAACTAACTTGCCTCTAGAATGGGATAGGCAACTTCAGGGAATTCTGGGGCTCCTTTCCTTCCCACAAGAAGTCCTGGCGGCTGCCCCAAATTTTACAGAACAGTGCCTGAAATCCTGTAGAGCAGCAATGCTGGAGAAACTGTGACAGGACTGAAGCACTATTCAAAAAGCTGCTCACAGATAGCGGGCAGACAAGACAAACACATTTAAAACAAACTTTATTGACATACTATCATAAGAAACCAGAATACAATAAATCTGAAACGGAGAAGTCCAAGACTACTGGGATAACAGCTTAAGAAATAATAGCACAGGTAGAAGAACAACAGACAAGAGATATAACAAAGCTGATCGATAAACAAATCAAAGAGGCAGGAAGCTTAAGGTAAATCTAACCCAGACAGGATTATTTTTCTTCCCAGTACTACCTCCCTTCAGTTCAATGGATGAGGCTCTAAAGAAAGTACAACTCTGATCATCTGTGTATCTGGATCCATTAACTAGCAGGAAAAGTCCAATGCTCAGCAAAATTAATGAGTATCTCAGTCCAATGCATACATCCTTATACTCAAATGTGTATACACTAAAGCGTCCAGATAACTAGCCGAACATAATTCTCTACATGAACACTTTAACTTGTACTCTGTCTCTCATCTTGGACTTTGCTTTTAGCACTGGCTAACTTGCGGGTTGTATTTGATTTAAATCAAATTGTGAATCAAAGCTAACTTGCGGGTTGTATTTGATTTAAATTTTAAAAAATCAATATTTTGATTATTTAAACTTAAAAATTGTGGTTTTAAATCACGATTTAAATTTAAAAAATCAATTTTTTGATTATTTAAACTTAAAAATTGTGGGTTTTTTTAAAAAAAATTAAATCATTATTTAAACCAACTTGGTTTAGAAAAATAATAATTGATTTTTAAGCACTCTGCAACTGAGTGTAACCACTATTATCTTTAAAGAAAGTCATCTAGTGCAATACATAGTGTGTAGTGGGCCTATAAGATAGTTTGCTGCTGCCAAAAGTGCCACCACTGGGTGGCACTGTGGCGGTTTTTGTTTTTTTACTGGCAGGAGATTTCTGGCAGAGGTTTATTTTCTACAGTAATTCCGTTCGAGTTCAGGCTGCCATAACTGAGGCCAAACGTTAATTGCCATTGCACACCTGAACTACTTCACAGTTCTGATTTGCAGGGGGAAATTATTCACATTATAGAAGTTGACTTGCATATGCAATGGAGGGATTAATACCACTATCATATCCTTTTAGCTTTAATACTAGGTGGTTAAACATATACAGTACACTATCTAGAAAAATCTACAGGATCCACAGGCAATTGGACCATAAAAGGGAAGAAAACACAGAATCAGCTCACAGGAAATGATGCACCAATCTTGCACTCTTGAGGTTGAAGAACTGTTAACAACATGATGGAAAAACGTGTGGTTTTTTTAAAAAAAATGCAGTCTCTTACTCTCATACGATGTGCTACCTTTATCAAAAATTAGACATGGGGAAATCCTGCACTGCCCAGGCTTTATAAAATTGGAAACCCTGGGGAATCTTTAGCTTTCTAGATATTTGGGCTTACAATTTTCTTCCACCCCACTCAGGATGACCAGTGGGAAGAGAATAGGAACTGGCTCAAAACACCTAGAGGACCAAAGGCCGCTCCAGCCCTAAGCTATATTATTAGGCTGTGAGAAAACTAAAGTTTCAGTAAACTTACAGGCCCAGCCAGAAAGAATGTAGTGAAATTCAATCAGTGCAGCACTTATGTGCCTGCAATTTATGCCACACCACATGTGCAAAAGATCTAGCAAATGGCCGAGAGAAAGCTACTGAAGTAGCCCACCTTTCATCAAAAACAAATTATCGTAACCTTTGTTTTCAATTTTACCTATATTTCGTATACACCCATAATTTTAAAATGTGCGACGCTCTGATACAAAGAAAGAAGCCAGAAAGACTAGCTGAGCTAACAGTGCCCAGAACACAGAGGTGCTAAATTCTAAACACTTCTCTTTGCTCCAGGAAGGACCTCTGGAAAAGTTACTGGGCCACATGCGCTGGGGAGAGCAGCAGACCCAAAAGAAAGCTCTGGTACTTATGATACACCTCGAAGCGGGTGTCTTTACAGCAGAGGAGTATACAGAGAGAAAATACGGGCTGCCTGCCTCTTTCCTGCTTCTCAGCCTCAGAAGAAGGGAAGACACCAATCTGGATTAGCTACAAGCCTTTCCACACTTGAATTTTAATGACCCATCACACTCCTAATTCATTCTGAAAAAATGAAACTGTATCAACTTATTTTCATACTTTATGCCAAAATAAGGGTTTCCAAATTATATCCCAAGTCCTGTAACAATCTGGGGAAAACATGGTTTTGAGATAACTTTCTAGACCTCTCCCACTTAATTCGTCTTATACTAAAATACAACAGGATACACAGATCAATCTGTTATTGAAACTCAAGACTGCTCTCGAATGATAGGAGATAGATGTGTGATGCAGCAAGAGGCTGACCCATTTTAAAACCTACGTTTTCACATATGTGGCCAAAATATAATGGAGACTGTCATCCTTAGTATGCAGCTCCTGGCAGTCTCTTCACGCTAATCTTTGGGGCTTAAGAACTTCCAAATTGTCTGCTTTCCTAGCTGAATATGGACAAACAACTTACTGGTGCCATAACACTATTTTGCAGTGCAGCTGAATATCTTAGGAACTCATTTGTGCAAATCATAGCAATACACTGCAGTGGAGGCTATCATATATAAACGTTCATAAACACACTGTGTTTAAAAAAATCTTTTTTGTGCCACTTTTTTCAGATCACTCCTATCTGTATGCACTTGTTAAACCATCTTCCCTTCCCCATCTCACAGAATGTATTCAATGAATATTTTTGTGACAATCACAGCTTGGTGGGGGAGAATGAGGGGAAATGTTAAGAGTACAGGTCCCAGAATCCCCCAGACAGGGATTCTGGGAGTTGTAGTCCAAAAACATTGCCAAGTTCCATTAAATAAGTGAAACATACACTGTGACCAATAGAGGATTTCATGTCTGATTTACTAGTAGCTACCCAATTATCTTTGCAATCCTACTAATGAAGCAAGTCCTGCTGATTTCAATGAGACTTACTCCCAGATAAGTTTGCTTAAGTTGACTAAGATATTGGGTACATCTTGGGTATCTCCCTACCTTCCCCTAAAAAGTGCATTGGTTAGCAAGAGAAAAAAAAGATTAAAGCAACAACACAAATAAGGCAACGGGAAAGGATCCATGGAAGATAACTATGGAAGAGAATAATGTTCTTTTTAATCTTATAGAAACAGCTGCATTAACATTTCTATCATACTAGGTGTTTTTTAAAGTTTTATATATTTGAATTGAAATTCATTGGAGGTTAATATTTTTTTAAATGCACATTGGAGTAAAAACAAAGGGCAGTGATTCTTTCCTGCATAGGTGTAGACAGGAATGGCTACAGAGGCTAAGAAAGCAATTTTTCTCCTTCTCCCACTTCAGGACATGAGCATAAACATAGGTGCAGCCAGAGCACTGAGCCACCCGAGAAAAAATGGAGACCTTTGCACAGCCCACATCATCATCCAGCCCTGAACTCCTGTGCTTGAACTCCTTGATGAAGCAGAGGGCAATGCTTCTTTTAAAAAAATCCCTTTCTTTGGCTACAGCTCCTTTGCCAAGTGGCCATCCTGGCTGATGGGTTCTGGAAATTGTAGTCTAGCAAAGGAACTTTTCCAAGGTCTGGCAGAGGCGACAAGGATACAGAAGGTGCTCCAAAGGTCTCCACTCTATAGACTAGCCAGGGGCAAGTCCTGCACACATAACCGCAGGCTCATGCAGAGAAAAAAGCTGGGAGGGGTTGCATGATAACAACTCTCGTTATGTTCTAGCGGTTACTTCTCTGTACTGACCCTACAGGCAAGAATCAGACCTTATAAAATAAATTAAATAATTTTAATTAATGCCTTAAAGCTCCACACTATTCAACTAAAATCCTTTATTTATATTGAGCGCAATTTGTTGGTGCTGTTGTTTTAAATTGCCCAGATTAAGGATACACTGCTATTAGACACCAAACAGCAGAATATTGTGAAACAAATAACTGTGCTTAGAAGAAAAAAATTCTGTGTCCATGTCTACATTAAACTGTTCTCCAAGCCATGACTTCCCACTAAGGAACTGAACAAAGGGATGCTCGTTTTATATATGGATTTATGTGGAGGAAGAGACACCAAAACGTAGAATGAAATAATTATTTGGAAAAGTTAAATTAGCAACTATCTGGGGCAAGCATTTTTTTTTCTTGCTTGCTTCATCATGCCCAGGGATCCAACTCCATCTGTACTTCTTTTTTTTGTTTTGTTTCATCCTGCTTTCAAAACACTTCTTTAACAGCTGCATCATCCCACTTTTGTACTCTTCCCCAGTGACAAATGAAGACAATTTTTTTAAAACCTGAGGAATGACACATATTCTCATTACCCCCATCCAACTGCATTTCCAAGGATTCCTGTGGAGAACCATCAAACAGTTTTTTAAATGGCTTTCAAAATTCCGATACGTCTGATGGTCCTGGGTCACAAGCACTGGCGTCCTGTCATTCCTTAGGCCAAAGCACGCTTGCTTAGCTATGCACAGCAATGCGAAAAACAGCTCACAGACTCCAGAGTTTTGTCAAGATGAGACTTGCTCGAGCCTCCCTTTTTCAACTTCCCACAGTGAACGGAGGATCGTCCCTCTGTTACTAGAAAGGAGACACTTCGTGTCCCGCTTTTTAGCCACCTAGTTCCTAAGAATCGGGAATCAAGAAAGACATTCCACTTTTATTTCGCCCACGTGGATAGATTGAGACGCATCGGTGACGACTGGCTTAGATTCTGCGAGGCTGCTTGTCAAAACTACGGAGTCACTGCTCTGCTTATCAAAAGGGGCTTTCTTCTCTTCTTGGCCCCAGAGATGCTCAGGAGCCGGGCCCCAGGCTGTTGCCCCAGGCGACGTGTTGGTCTCTGGCAGGGCCGTTCCAAGACTTCCGTCCTTAACATGGACTCTCTGATGGGATACAAGGCGTGAACTCCGGGCGAAGCACTTTCCGCAATCGGCACAAGTGTACGGCTTCTCCCCAGTGTGAATCCTCTGGTGAGTGACTAGATCGGCGTTGATCCGGAAGCTCTTCCCACAGATGTGACACTCGTAAGGCTTCTCGCCCGTGTGGATCCTCTGGTGCTTAATCAGGTCTGAGCTGTAGCTGAAACTTTTGCCACAGATGCCGCAGGGGTAGGGCCTTTCCCCCGTGTGGACCCTCTGATGGCAGATCAGATGGGAGCTTCGCTTGAAACCCTTCCCACAATCAGGGCATTCGTACGGCTTTTCTCCAGTGTGGTTTCTCTGGTGGGTCACCAAGTCATAGTTGACCCGGAAGCTCTTCCCACAAATGGAGCACTCATACGGTTTCTCACCCGTGTGGACCCTCTGATGCCTGATGAGATGGGAGCAATCCCGGAACCGCTTCCCACAGATGCCACACGGATAGGGCCTTTCCCCCGTATGTACTCTCTGATGGGAGATGAGGTGTGAGCTTCGCGTAAAGCTTTTCCCACAGTCGGAACAAATGTAAGGCTTCTCTCCAGTGTGGCTCCTCTGATGGTTGACCAAATCGTAGTTGGAACGGAAGCTCTTCTCGCAGATGATACACTCGTAAGGCTTTTCCCCCGTGTGGACTCTCCGATGAGACATCAGCTGCGAACTCTGGGAGAAGCCCTTCCCACATTCCAGACAGATGTAGGGCTTCTCTCCGGTGTGGACTTTCTGATGGGCAACCAAGTCAGAGCTGAAAAGGAAGTTCCTCCCACACTCCAGGCAGGAGAAAGGCTTCTCGTCCGTATGGCTGTGCATGTGCTCCACCAAATCTATCTGCTGGCTGCACCCTTTCCCACACACAGGGCAGGTAAAGGGTTTATCTTCTTTGTGGACTCTCTGATGCTCGACGAGGCAGGAACTCCCATTAAAGCATTCGCCACAAACGGGACAAATGTACTGTGTTTGTGTTCCCACAGCATCGCTCAGGAGAATGCCTCCATTGACAGGGAAAGGGTCATTCTTCGGTGCTGGGGTGACGTTTCTCGGCTCTGTCTCTGAACTGGTCTCACTGATTTCACCTCCGTCCAGGTCCGGGGCTGGAGAAACATGCCTCTGGCAACTTTCTGAAGGCATCTCTGGTGATTCAGCTGCCTTATGGCCTCCTTGCCGGGAAGTCCCTTCCTCTTCCTCGTTCACCATCTTTTCACTTACTGGAGAGAAAAAGAAGCCAACAAGTAATTAGAATTATTCATAAACATTTGCCCTCGACTCTCAAACATTCAATCATATGTACTGTCTGTCATTCTAACAACACTACTGTATAAAGAGAAAAAGAAGCCAACAAGTAATTAGAATTATTCATAAACATTTGCCCTCGACTCTCAAACATTCAATCATATGTACTGTCTCAGTCATTCTAACAACACTACATGTATAAGGTGGGCAACACTGTAAAATGGGGAAGAAAGGCTGAGAGAACAGTGGGAAACCAAAGTGGGAATTCAAAGCAGAGATGAAATTCAAAGAAAGACTTTTTGATTTGATGCCCCACCTGTGAAAGAAACAGGACAAAGAAGCAACTTGCAACAACATGCAACATGCTACAGTGTGCAAAAAATTCTATGGAAAGTTGAAGGTAAGTCATGTGCCTTTAACAACAGAAGCAATCAACAAGAGTATCATTGCTGTATTAATTGGAAACTGTAGTTGGACGCAAAACCGTAATTTCCCATTCAAACGAGAAAGGAGCAAATTTTGTGGTTCTGGCTTAACAGTTCTTTTGATAACAAGTGGTGATCGTATGATGTTTGATTGCATTAATTTAATACTGAATGGAGATTATAATTTCTTTTTTAAAATTCTTACTGCATTATGTGTAACAATTGACAAAAATAAAATTGGGACGACAGGACTATCAGTAGTTAGCTTACGCCGAGCCAGTCTATTGGCCCAGTGATTTTCAGAACAGGGAAAGGGACTCCACATATTTAATTAGTCTTGGGAGAAAGGTAAGTGGAGACAGCCACCTTTTCAAAGGGATAACAAGACTCCCTCCATTCGTACCTCAAATATAGTATATTCCTAATATTCCATATTACTGGCTATGCTAACTAGGGCTGAAGTGGGCTGGAGTTCAAAATTATCTAGAAGACTGCATTTTGTCCATTCCTGGATTATACCACCAGTGACATAAACCATGGCTAAGGCTAACTGAGAGTCCCATATAGGTTAGATTAACCAGGGTTTGCACCTAACAAATTATTATCTAAAGCTGATTTCCAATCCCTGTTAAGGACAGGTCATGCTTAGGCTGGTATTAACATCACTGCTGATGTCATGTTTAACAGAGGAAGGTGGGCCAGGGAAGAAGATATGCATAACCATGCAATCTGCTGCCCACTAACAGCAGCCCTCCATGACATCTATACTGATCTAACATCAAGTAGGTGCACTCAAGGTCAAGAAATCAGACACTACCTAATCTTCCTCATGGATTCACTACACTCCTCTCTGTAAAAGTGATGAAAATTAATGCTTCCTTCACTCTCCATGCTTCACTTTATTTTCTTTCAACAAGTGCAACTTTTATGTATTCAAACACTAACCATGAGGACTAGGACCTTGCTTTAAAAAAAAACATCAGAAGCCAAACCTAAAAGCTTGTGCCAAGATCCTGCTCATGCTACCATCATATATATCTTTGACCTCCATTCAGAAACTATTGTTTCCATGTTATTGTATCATATATATCTTTGACCTCCATTCAGAAACGATTGTTTCCATGTTACAGTATTGTATTACAGTATGTTTATAATTTGTCTAGTGCTAAGATTTGGATACAAATCAAGTAAGCCATCATTTAAGGACGATTGTTTCCATGTTACAGTATTGTATTACAGTATGTTTATAATTTGTCTAGTGCTAAGATTTGGATAGAAATCAAGTAAGCCATCATTTAAGGCCTCAGAGATCCTCAAATCATAACCAAAAGAAAGAACAACAACAACAACAAAATGCCAAACACTTCTCAGAATAAAATACTTTTTTTAAAAAAGGAAGGCTACAGGGCCTCTTCATTGCTTATGCCCCCCCCTGCATGTCTTAATCTGGCTGTGCTCTTGCCTTTCCTCCAATGGGCTCAAGATTATGTTCGGGGCCGCCCCAGACCTTATGGTCACAACAACCTTGTGAGGTAGGTCAGGTGCCTGGCCAAGGTCACCTCTGGACCTCCTAGTTCAGGGAGGGCAAGCAAGCCACCCATTTTTATTTTTATTTTTTTTAAACAGGCTCTGCCCTCTCTGCCGGCGGCAACTCTTTCGGGGATGAAGGCAGGGCCTTCTTGGCCCCCCGGCTGTGTAGAGAAGGAAAAGGTCGAGAGGCGCTTCTGCACTTGGATCGGAGGAATGATTTTCCTCGGCGCTTCTCTGCGGTCCTTAGGAAGCAAATCTCTCCGGGGCCGGAGGAGAGAAGGGACGCCGCTCTCCTGTATCCTTTGTTCGGAAAAAACCGATTTTAATCTTGACAGCCTTTCGAGAAGGGAGCCCAAAAAGGGTGGGGGGGAGAGACCAAGCAGGGGACGCCGGCAAGGCCAGCGCTGACCCCAAGCAAAGGGAAAGCAGGGGCGGCAGGAGGAGGAAGAGGAGGGGGAGGAGGAGGTCGCGAAGCAGGAAGCCTCCCTCGATCCCCAGCGAAAGCAGGATTAGCCCCAGAGGGATCAGGCGATAAGCAGCCCGGAGATCCCACCTGGGGTGCCCCAGCTAACACTCAGATGTGAGAGGGGAGGAAGAACACAACCCACAAGGGGTGGCCGATAAGAGTAGGCGAAAAAGCCCCCTTTCCCGGAGAAATCGTTAGGACCAGCGGTGGATATTTACGAAGCTGAGGGAGGCAGAGGGAAGGGTGGCCAGAGAGTGGGGTGGCCGGCTACAGCTCTGGTGGCAGACGGCCCACAGCATAGGCGGTTGAAACCGGGAGGCTGGGGGGGGCAACTTTGGAAGCTCCAGGGGACAGTTTCCCACCCCCAGGATCCATTGGGAGCAGAACCAGACCCTCAAACAAGCAAGCAAGCAAGCAGGCAGGCAGGTTTCCCGGCCGCCTTGCCTCGGCTGCTCCGGAGGGGTGGGGGGGGGAGTTCCTCGCCCAGCGGCCAAGGCTGGACTCGCTTTGCAACTACAGTAGACGAGGCTTCGATCCCAAGCCAGCCAGCCAAGGCAGGCACGGGAGGGAGGGAGGGAGGGCGGCCAGCCAATCGCTGCCGAGCTCGCGCTCTCCTCGGACGGGAGCTGAGTCAGGGCGCAGGAAGCGCGCCCTCCCCGCGGAAGGCTTTTTCGGGAGCAAAGAGAGAGAGAGAGAGGAGCTCCCCCCCTCCGGAAGGCCGGAGAAATAAACCAGCGACCTCTAGTGGCGCCTTGGCTTTTCCTCCCTGGGGGAGGGAGAGAGAGAGATGGCGGTGGCTGTCCGCTGGGCACGGCCGGCAGCAGCAGCCCTTGGCCCGCCAGAGGTTTCTGGGACTGCCATTCCCAGCATTCCCTATTACGAGCGAAGGTAGCTAGGGATGATGGGAGATGTGGTCCAGAAATAATGGAAACGGATGTAGTTCCCCACCCACCCCGGCGTTACAGTGTAAAAACTTGCACCTTTTTTTTCTTGTTCCTTTCCTAGCAGACATGAGACGCTCTCGTGACCATCCTCACTAAAAACAGCTACTACTGTACCTGTGTGGGATTTTTAGATAGATTGTTGCACATTACTGCTTTGACTTAATTTTTAGTACTATTTGTGTTTTTTGTATACCTACTGGTCTTTGCCTTTGTATTGCCTGTTGATGTTGTAAATTGCCTCCTTATTTGATTGTTTGTAGTTTTAAATATTGTCTTCCAATTATGTTAACCACAGTTGTTTACTCACTGTTTTCAACTTTAAATATTGTGTATTCGCGAAGGCTTTCACGGACGGGATCTAATGGTTGCTTGTTGTGGGTTTTTCCGGCTCTTTGGCTGTGTGTTCTGAAGGTTGTTCTTAATGTTTCGCCAGTCTCTGTGGCCGGCATCTTCAGAGGACAGCACTCTGTGCTCTGGTGTACACACTAATCACCCATCTACAGAAAAAGACAAAAGCCTATCTCCCAGCCATAAACACTCCCAAAGTACACCAGAGCACAGAGTGCTGTCCTCTGAAGATGCTGGCCACAGAGACTAGTGAAACGTTAGGAAGTACAACCTTCAGAACACGGCCAAAGAACCAGAAAAACCCACAACAGCCTTTAAATATTGTCTTTCACTTGGGTCTTTTCAAGTAGAAAGGCAGGATAAAAATATTTTAAATAAATAAATCCTGACTCTGGATGCATCAGCAGTACCAAACAAGGATGTGTTGTATCCTAACCACTCTCTCAGCTTCTTCAATCACTAATTTCTTCTCCCTCTTGCCTTTCCCCCTTTTTTATTTTACGCTGAATGATCAGATGTGACGATCAGTGTACAGTATATAACTAAAATAGTTTGTTCTTATGCTCCGTTGGTCCAGACTTGCAGCAACCTAGGAATTTAACGTGCAGAGAAAGTTCTATCTTTAACTCAAGGCTGTTGCTTCCTTTGCTGAGTCAATCCACTCCGTGTTCCATCTTTCTCTTCCTGTCCTACCTTCCCCTTTCCCTAACATTATTCACTTTTCCAGTGAGACTTTTCATATGTTCAAAACCTCTGTTATTCAGTTTAGTGTTGAGTAAGATCACACTTGATCGAGAAGCTACTTAGAGTGTGATCAGGCATTTAGTTTGAGTAAGATCACACTTGATCGAGAAGCTTGTGACCAGGCATTTAGCGAGCTGTTTGGTCTGTTGTAGGAGATGGGCTGGTTTGCTCCTTTTTCCAGTGATGACACAGCATAATTGCTGGAGTAAACCAAGTTGTCCCCAGAGCATTCCTAACACACAACTTTCTGATCCCCTGTCAGGGGCTTCTACTTTTTTGGTGCAAGTAGAATAACTTTGGTTTGATCCATTTCCAGCCTTTGTGATCACTGGAAAGCGAGCCTTCTGGCTGTCAAGATTCCTTCCGGTTTGAATTTCCTATGTCATAAGCAAGCCACTTAAGGGTATCTGTAAACTGAACACTTCTGCTCCTCGGCAGAGGGGCAGAGGAAGTGAATTATTTTTAAACTGTACGGTAGTAGACCGTCATTGATGTCCTGCACCATTTATAAAAAATAAAAAATAATATTTTTCCTTGCCTTCTCTGAAGGCCTGGA